GGCAAAAAAAATATTCTGATATAATGATATTTTGTTGTATTTTCGACAACCCTAGTATATACATATTTTGTATGCAAAGTAAGGCAGTTGACGTAGTTGGTAAACCCTCGATTCGTAACGTCTTTATCGATGCCTTAGTCTATTGAGCCAGTCGCAGTCGGCTTTGTCTTCTATTTGGGGGCCAAAATCAATAAACCCTTTGCTCGCAGCGCGCATGCAAAATCAAAGTATGCGGGAATGAAACATAACGCCCACTATCATTTGCACTGGAATATAAATTTATTTTTGTATTTTATTGGCGCAAGGGCTACAAATGCCATCAAATAGTTTTCCGTTCCAATTTTGGGCAGCACAATGGCAACGGACTGGGCGAACAGGCGAGCAGACATGAAAGGCAATGGGGCGTGGGCGTAGGTACAGGAATGGAGAATGGAGTGAGGAGAGAGCGAGAGAGAGAGAGAGAGATGGGTAGAAATAGCGAACGAGTGTCGAGGAGCGAGTATATATATGCCTTTATCAATTTTATCTGTGAAATATTTCCGAAACATTTGCCATTATATTTGCATTAGTGGCCACAGCTTCCTCCTGCCGTTGGTTAACTATATACGCTCCGTATTATTCGCTGGCGGCACCAGGATCCTCCCACTCGCCACGCCAGTGCGACGCCAATGAAAAGGAAAATGGCCAGTTGCATGAAAAGAAAATGGAAAATGGCAGGCGCAAACCGAGCCAAGCCAAGCCAAGCCAAACCAAACCAAGCCAAGCCAAGCCTACACCAGAACAGAACAGAACAGAAGAGAACTATATACGCTCTCTATGGGTTTTGTTGCTGCCCGACTATTCCCAGGCGGAAACTGCTTATCACACATTTCCACACAGCCACGCAAATTCACACACAAGTGCTGCAAACGAAATACAATACAAAAAATTAAAAAAAAAAAAAAAGAAAGGGAGAAGCAAGAACGAAAGGGAGCAGCAACAACAACAGCATCAAGAACAAAAAATAAAGAAGAAATATGTGAAAAAATGAAAGAAAAGAGAGAAAAGTTTTGCTGCCCGCCGTGCAGAGTGCTGCTGCCAGCCCCCTTCCCCCCTCCCTCCCGCTGCCAGCGCCTCCTGCTAAAGTAATAGCGCACAAAGAATGATGCGTAGACATGATTTCCGTGCGGTTGATTTCCCGCACAGCTCTCTCTCTCTCTCTCTACCTCTCTCTCTCTCTCTCTCTCTTTCCCCCCTTCTCTCACTCCCTTTCTCACTCTCTGTTGCTTGCAGCAAAACTATTTGCTTGGGGATTTAGTTGCTGGTACCTTTTTGTGCGTATACGTAACATCTTATCTACATGTCTTTCACTGGCTAACAGGGAGTCTGCTGGGCCCGGCTGGGCCGAGAGAGACCAGACCAGCCCGCTGCAATTGTCGTCGTCGCCGTCGTCTTCTTCTTCTTCTTCGTCATCAGCGTTTTCAGCATCTAAGCTGGCAGCTGCCTGAAGTAGCATGTAATTCATCTTATTCCCCAAAGACAACTCCGACGACGTCGACGATAAAGACGATGGAACGGGCACGGGCAGGGGCACGGGCACCGCCTCAACCTGAGCCTGCCAAAGCATTCGCTTTCTCGCCTCGGCCCAGCMGACTGTCGCCGTCGTYGTCGTCGTCGTCGTCGCGCTGAGCGTTTCTCCATTGGGACATAAATGGCATTTGGCAGAGCTCAGCCGGTCGCTGGCTGCTGAAGGCACGCGTCTCATTACTTTGAGCCGTTACGTGTCGAGTTCGAGCTCGAGCTCGGGCGGCTGCTCAGTTGCGTTGCCTTTACCCTTCACCATAAAATGCGTAATGAATTTTAGATTTCATTTCGATGGCTGCGTAAAGAAAACACCGAATCTTGTCCGGCAACATAACTCATACAGAGTGAGAGGGAGTGAGAGAGAGAGAGAGAGAGAGAGTTGCACACATAATGTTTCTCTGACGAGCAGCAAAACACGTTACGTTTCTGTTGATGCCCCACAAATAGTTTAAAATGTCATCAAATCTCTATAATGCTCGGGGCAAAAACTGAAATATTAGCCACAAATTTCAGCAATTTACAAATTGCACTTGATTTTTATTCTCCAGCTCCAACTGTTTGTACTCACATTCCCCCGATTCCCCAGAGCCAGCCCAGAAAGTGTTCAGCTCAGGGATTTGCCATGATTGATCGTTTTATCCGTTGGACTTTTCCTGCTCAAAGTCAAGCACATGACGCGAGAGCTGTGTTATGCAATTATTATGAATTCATGTATAAATATCCAATTCTATAAATAGATTGCCATATAATTACAGAAAAGCAGCTTCAGTCGAGTAGGAAATACAACGAACTAAGCAAAGAGCTTATATTCTGATAATTTAAGGCGTTTCATATAAGGACTTTCTGAATCAAAGTTTCATTTATATTTATGTACCATAGAACGAGTCTTTATTATTCGAAAGACGATTTTTGTAAATTTGGGTAGTGGCAAGGATGGTGTTATCTAAAATCCAA